CAATATATGAGCCCCCAAGTATATAAGGAAATTGTTGGACATCTTCATAAAAGATATAGACAGCAACACACTGGCAGTAGGGGATTTCAACACTCCACTTTCAAAAATGGACAGATCTTCCAAACAAAACATCACCAAGGATATTGTGGAGCTGAATGAACCGCTGAATCAAATAGACTTAACTGACATATATAGAACCTTACATCCCCAAAAAGAAAAATACACATTCTTTTCAAATTCTCATGGCAGTTTTTCAAAGATAGACCACATGATAGGACACAAAGCAAACATCAGTAAATTAAGGAAAATTGAAATACTGCCAAACTTTTTCTCAGACCACAAGGCCTTGAAACTCGAAATCAACCTCAAAGAGAACCTTCAAAAACTTGTAAACTCATGAAGACTGAGCAGTAGACTATTAAACAATGAATGAATCAATAATGAGATAAGAAAGGAAATAAAAAAAATTTCTGGAAACAAATGAAAATGAACAGACAACAGTCCAAAACCTATGGGACACAACAAAGGCATTCCTGAGAGGGAAGTTCATAGTAATACAGGCTTACCTAAAAAAGATAGAAACATTTTAAATAAAAGACCTAACACTACAACTTCAGGAACTGGAGAAAGAACAACAAATAAATCCCAGCGCAAGTAGAAGGAAATAAATAGTCAAGATTAGAGGAGAACTGAATGACATAGAGAGGAAAAGAACAATTCAAAGGATCAACCAATCCAGAAGCTGGTTCTTTGAAAAGATAAATAAAATTGACAAGGCTTTAAGCAGACTCATCAAGAAAAGAAAGGGAGAGGACCCAAATTAATTACATCAGAAACGAAAGAGGAGAAATAACAACTGATATCACAGAAATACAAAGGATTGTTAGAAAGTACTATGAACAATAATATGCCAAGAAATTTGAAAACCTGGATGAAATGGACAAATTTTTAGAAAAGTATAATGTTCCAACCCTGAAGGAGGAAGAAACAGAAAGCTTGAACAGACCAATAACAGCTGGGGAAATTGAAGCAGTAATCTAGAAACTCCTGGCACACAAAATCCCGGGGCCAGATGGTTTCATAGGAGAATTTTACACAACATTTAAGGAAAAGCTAACCCCTGTCCTTCTGAGACTATTCCAGAAAATCCAAGAGGAAGGAAGACTCCCAGACTCTTTTTATGAGGCCAGCATCACCCTAATCCCAAAGCTAGATAAAGACCCTACAAAGAAAGAAAACTACAGGCCAATTTTGCTGATGAACATAGATACTAAAATCCTCAACAAATATTGGCAAATTGCATCCAGGAATACATTAAAAAGTTTATCCACCATGATCAGGTGGGATTCATCCCAGGGATGCAGGGATGGTTCAATATACACAAGTCAATAAATGTAATACATCACGTAAATAAAAGAAAAGACAAAAATCACATGATGATCTCGATAGATGCAGAAAAAGTATTCGATAAGGTACAGTACCCATTTATGATCAAAACACTGAGCAAAAAAAAGCCTACAGACAACATCATACTCAATGGGCAAAAGTAAAAGCTTTCCCACTAAGATCGGGAACACAACAAGGATTTCCCCTTTCACCACTTCTTTTCCACAAGGTATTGGAAGTCCTAGCCACAGCAGTCAGACAAGAAAAAGAAATAAAAGGCATCCAAATAGGAAAGGAAGAAGTAAAACTATCATTGTTCGCAGATGATATGATAGTGTACATAGAAAACCCTGTAGACTCTACCAAAAAACTCCTCAACCTAGTAAGTGAATTTGGAAAAACAGCAGGATACAAACTCAATATTCAGAAATCAAAGGCATTTTTGTACACCGGCAATGAAATAGAAGAGAAGAAATCAGAAAATAAAATACCATTCAATATAGCAACAAGAAAAATAAAGTACCTAGGAATAAATTTAACCAAGGGGAAAAAAGATCTTCCAACACTGAAGGAGGAAGAAACAGAAACATAAACAGAAACAGAAACATGCAGAAAACTATACCAGTTTGAAGAAAGAAATTAAGGAAGACACAAATAAATGGATGCATATACTGTTCTCATGGATTGGAAGAATTAATATCATCAAAATGTCCATACTACCCAAAGCAATCTCTCGATTCAATGCAATCTCTATTAAGATACCAATGACATATTTAACAGAAATAGAAGAGATATTTCAAAAAATTATATGGAATCATAAACGACCCCAAATAGCCACAGCAATTTTGAGAAAGAAAAACAAAGTAGGAAGGATCATAGTACCGGACATCACACTCTACTACAAAGGCACTATATTCAAAACAATATGGTACTGGCGCAAGAACAGACCCATAGACCAGTGGAACAGAATAGAAAGCCCAGAAATAAGCCCAGATCTATATGGGCATCTAATAATTGACAAAGGGGGTAGAAGCATAAAATGGAGCAATAATAGCCTATTCAACAAATGTTGGGAGAGCTGGACGACTACATGCAAAAAATTGAAATTGGATCATCAGCTGACACCATACACAAAAATAAACTCAAGATAGATAAAAGACTTAAATATAAGTCGCAACACCATGAAAGTCCTAGAGGAGGACATAGGCAGGAAACTGTCAGATATTCCACGCAGCGGTTTTTTCACTGATATGTCTCCTATAGCAAGGGACATAAAGGAAAGAATAAACAAATGGGTCCTCATCAAAATAAGAAGCTTCTGCACGGCTAAAGAAAACATCAGCAAAATGAAAAGGGAGCCAATCATATGGGAAAATGTATTCGTTAATGATACAACAGAATGAGGTTTGATCTCCAAAATATATAAAGAACTCACTTGACTCCACTCCAAGAGAGCAAATGATCCAATCAAAAAATGGGCAAAGGACCTGGGCATATGCTTTTCCAAGGAAGGGATGCAGAGGGCCCAGAGACATTTGAAAGGATGTTTGGCATCACTAGCCATCAGAGAAATGCAGATCAAAACCACCATGAGGTACCACCTCACACCTGTCAGAATGGCCATCATAAACAGATGTACAAACAACAGGTGCTGGCAAGGCTGTGGAGAAAAGGGAACACTAGTACATTTTTCGTGGCAATGAAGACTGGTGTAGCCATTGTGGAATGCAAGTGTCGAATTTCCTCAAAAAGCTGAAAATGGAACTGCCTTTTGATCCATCGATTCCCCTGCTGGGACTATACCCTATGAATTCCAATACGCTAATTCAAAAGAGCCTATGCACCCCAATGTTCATAACACCACAATTTATAATAACCAAGTGTTGGAAGCAACCTAAATGCCCATCAGTAGATGATTGGATCAAAAAATGATGGTACATTTACACAATGGACTACTACGCAGCAGAAAGAAAAAAAGAACTACTAAACTTCGCGACAGCATTGATGGACCTGGAGAGCATTATGCTAAGCGAAATAAGCCAGGGGGTGAAAGACAGATACCATATGATCTCTCATATAAGCGGAACTTAACCAACAATACAATGATGCAGTTAGAGTAGGACCAGCAACACTGGAAGGAAAAGAATTGAACAGAGACAAAACGGATGGAGGCGGGGGGGACGGGGGAAAAGGAAAGGAAGGGGAGGGTCAGGGAACATGTAGCAAGGTCTCTTGGACAAAACTCGGGGGGAGGTATTGGGGGATAGAGGCCAGGGGAGAGTGGTAGGGGGAAGGCAGAGACAAATGTATTTGAAAAAATATATATATTCACTAAAAAAAAAGAAATATAAAAATATGTAATGATAAAAAAACAAAAAAAAGGAAAATTGGCAAAGTTTTAAAATTTAACAAATGATAAATTAAAAAACTGAAAAGAGAAACCCAAAACAAGACCTTTGTTACCTCTAAGGAAAAACAAAAGCAACACAGGAAAGTGTAATCTTAATGTACTAATTTATCAGCTGTAGATATCCATCCTTACATGTTCATAATAATGAAAATACCAAATGTGTTGTAACCAAAATGTCTTGTAATTACATTGGAAATATAGAGGACATGAGAAAGGCAAAAAAAAATGTCAAGTTATTTTTATGTCAAATATTTCACTATTATCATCCTGATTTAAAATGCGTGATATCCATAATTTTAACATCCTGTTCTAGCTATAGATACATAGATGAATGGACACAGAGATAGAGCACTTTAGTTTTTACTTTCCATATTCAGAGTATTTAGAAAGATTTTTGGAACCAGTGCTGCTAAATAATATAGTTGCTTTGGAATTTCTGTATAGGAAAGACTATGGCTATTGATTTAAGACTGTAACAGATGAGTCTTTTTTATGATCCATAATTTCAAGAAAGACTCAAGTTTCATTTAAATCAGTTTTATAAATTTAGCTATATTTAAAAGTATTATATTTGTTATGCATAAATTCCAAATGATTATGTAACATGATCAATCAGTTCCAGTGTAACAGCAATATCAATTTAATATATAGGATTTTATTAAAGTAATACCCATGACACTAAAAAGAGAAGCACAAAACTAAATTGGTTCCTTCCTCCCTCTGTGGTCACTTCATTCACTGAATGCAGAGAATAAAAAAGTTTTTTCATATATAGCTTTCAATATAGCTTTCAGATTTTCCAAAACTTCTATACATAACTTAAATCTAAGGACATAAATGTATGGACTTTTATAACAAGGTAGAAATATACATACTACATACTACCAATTCTATGCCATCTGGCCCTGCTGTCCAGTATCTTGAATATATTCAATGTTCAATTAATATTTACTGAATTATTGAGTGAATTAATATAGACTAAGTTTACCTATTACAAATTGGGTTAGAGGGGGTATGATTTTCAAGAAAAATCTTCATTAAAATTTAGCTTTCAAGTATAAATAATTGCAGTTAAGGTTTTAAATATGGGTCACTGATGATTATGTTATTTTAGTTTTGGCTGCACACACAACATAGTGTCAAATAAATAAACTTTAATTTTCATGTGATAGTTAATAATTAGTAAAAAATCAGAGACACATACCTTGAAGAGAACTTGACATGGTGTGCATGACCCTGGTTGTAAGGCACAGAAGTAGATCTTTCTTGGAACTTAAAGATACAATGCAATATTTCAGTAAAATTCTCCATAAGAAATTATTTTGAGTTTAATTTATGGGAAAATGCATTTTTTTCATATACAGATAGTTTCCTAAAAATCCAACTTATAAAATCTAATTTTTATAAATAGATTGCATTTTCATACTAATTATAACATTAGAATTGCTTAATGATAACTTCTGATGATAGCCTTCAATTTTGTATAACAGATTATGGAAGTTATGAAACCAGATACCCTCATTTTGTTATCGAGAAATCTGTAGCCCACAGAGGAAAAATGACTTTTTAAAGGATTTTAAATCAAGTCAAAAAATATTATCAGAATATAGGTCATTCAACTGCTAATTTATTATTCTATTTATCTTTTTATATTGCCTTTTATATCGAGTTCAAACTTCTCACTCACTCACCTTTTTAAGCTAACCCTAGATTTTTAAAAAGTGTAACATACACACATATACATCATTAAAATCTCTTGAATAAAAATTGTCTTATTTTTTAAAAAGTTTTTTTCACTTTACGATTTGACTGCAATGTCATAATCAGTGTTTCAAATACTTTTTCAATTTTAAGTTAATTCATTTGAATTTTATTAATTATTCAATTACTAATACTACAAAACACTTTCATCAGTGGGGAAGATTTACTTTCTGCCAATATTAGTGTTGCCTTACAAAATTTAGTTTTATATCACTAGGTTTCTACCCAAAATAGTTTTCAGTTACCCCCAAAATATGTTGTTCTGACATTCAATAAGGCATGTCACACTAGATTCTTTAGAAAGGCAAATTAATTCAACGTGTTACATTTTTTAAAAATTTTGTATTTTCATGCTGATAAAAATCACTGTGTAGTTTCTAGAAACTGTCCTAACTTTACTACAGCTTTTTTTTCTCTCTGTAGTGACTTACCAAGATTGTCTTTACACTATAAAAAACAGGTAAGAAATGAAAAATGTTAATTGTTCATATATTTTGCTAATGAGGTTTTCCAAGTATAACCAGATATTTGTCAGTATAAAAGATAAGCATCTGACTGACTTTTTCCACATTTGATTCAGATAGCTGATATCATTTTGACCCAGTTTAGCCCTCTTGATTCATGAAGCTGATCTCAGAAAGTTTATTGACACTAGCAAACCAGAGACCCAAATTACTCAGAAGAGACCAAGGCCAAATATAAGAAAAGCTAATGTCTAATATGAGTTGACTATATTTGGTCTGAAAATGGGTGTTGGGAACTGTCTCACCTGGTTTCAGGGACTGTAACCTTGCCGACGGGTGAGAGGGCCTCAAGGCTGGAGCTGAGTAAGGAAGCTTTGGGAAAATAGGCCACTGAGGAGACAAAACCTGTCCCCCTAAATAGACTGTATTCCTCCCTCACATCACCCTGCTTGGCCTTAGAAGATGGCTGGTTAGTCAATGATGAGTACAACTCCTCGATGGCAGGGGCAACCTAAGACAAGCACAGTCACATGGTGGCAATCAGGGAAGGACTTGGGGGACACGGAGAAGGGGCAAAAGACCCTCACCCCTTGGCTTTGTCTTAGCCAGAGTCCTCATTCTATCTGAAAAAGTCTTCTTATCTTTTGGCTGCTGTGCCCGCTGCCTGACCGGGTCAGTGAAACAACAATAAAGGCAGGTACAGCCCTAAACTGGATCAGGCGGTTCCTGGAGACAATTAGGCCTGAAAAAAGAATGCATTAAATCCTATGAAACCTACTTTGCGAAGAATGCCCTAGCGTTAATGAGTACTGATGTTTGGGGTTGAGCATAGAATTTGGTCAGTTTCCCAGGTTTCAGGGCTAAATGGGTGCCACCCTGTCTACCAGACCTTGACCGGAGGCAAATCTCTGTGTTCCTTCAATCATAGCCTTTTGACATTGATTGATGAGCTTTGCATGCACACTGTATACCCATGTACATATCATTCTCAATAAAAGCCACTTCAAGAGAAGGGCTTGGGGCATTCTCTGCTAGAGGGAATTGTCATCCTCTTTTTGTGGCAGACCAAGAAGTGTCTGGAATGATTTATTCTATTTTCCTTTATCCACAGTGATGTCGGGGGTACTCTGTGCAGGACGTGGTAACCCCCCATCAAATGGGGAGAAGAAAATGATTAGTAAGAATATCATATGTTAGCAATAGTAAAAATAAATGTAGATAAATAAAATTTGGCCTTTATTGTTGATTTAAAAAAAGAATAGCATATGCTATGGCAAATTATACAGTCCAAACCAACCAGACACGGCTCATTATATTTCCTGCTTTAGGTGTCACGCTTAAGGTAATTATTATCTGAGAATAAGAGTAAAATAATCATTGTATAAAGTTGAGAGGGAAACATATTGTTGCTTTTAACTAAATAATGCAATCCAGCTTACGTTTCTTCTGCCAGTGTTTAGTATTTATAAACAATGTTCTATTATTCATTTCAGAAGGATGTCAGTACCAGAAAAAATATTTAAAAAGGGTAATTGTCCATGACAGGTATCATAGTAGACTAGTGTGAAGCGTTCTCAAGGAAGAAATGCAGTTATCTAGGGCCCTAGTGTTAGTTAAGAACAACAATGAGACTCTTGGCTACTATCAGCAAGGTGAAAACTTTTGAGTTCTTCACCCATCCACATAGTCCTTAGTGACCAAGAGATTTATAGATGGCTACCTGTTAGATATGTTGGCTATGATGATACTATCTTGTCCACACAGGAATTTAATTTTTAACTTGAGTTTCACCAATACAATTTGCTAAACAGCTATTAGTATAGCTGTGAAAACAAAAGGCAGCCTGGACACCAAGACTGATATAACTATTCCAAGAGTTATAAGAAAATAAAACTTATTAGATGAACCAGGCCCAGTCATAAACTACATCCCAGAACTGAGAGAATCAAGGCAAACAAATACATGTAATTGAATACAAAAAATATTATAAAACCAAAAAGTTTAAGAACCACTGTTCTAGGCACTTATTAACGTTATAATCTAAACTATCAAATTTGCATAGGCAATATTTTTATTTAAAAAAATAACTGACAAGACAAACTATGATTATTCAACTTGGGCATGCAGAAGTCATTTTATTTAAAATTAGTGAAATAAGCCTGTCAATTAAAAAAAAAAACAACTGATGTTATTTGTTAGCAATGATAAAATTGAGCTTTCAGGGAAAATTAAAAATTTAAACATATATCTGCCACTGGACTTGACAGCTTATCGATTCTCAATAATGTTCATGATGAAATTAATGATGATATTAAAAAATACTGTTTTTTGATGTTGTATAATGAAATGTAATGTGTAAACACTTGGAAAGAGCTACATAAATGGTGAACCAATATTTTTCAACTGACCGATACACAAAGATACAAAATCATGCAGGAATGAAACATCTATTCATAACACATAATAGACCAATAGATTTCAATGTTACCAAATATATAACATTTCATTTATATGGTTTTAGATTCCAATTCTCCATTTCTGGTGTATTATCAAAGAATACCCCCAATTATCTTTAAAAAAGTATGAATATCCTCCCTTTCAAACTACCTTTATGTGAGAAGCCAGCCTTTACTCATATACTTTAAATTAATCAATATTTGGCAACAGATTATATGCAGAAGCAGATATGAGAATCCAGCAAGCTAAATGGATGTTGTTTTTTTTAATTTTTCAAATACATTTGTCTCTGCCTTCCCCCCACCACTTTCCCTTGCCCCCAACCCCACTCCCTCCCTCAATCCTTCCTCTTTGGTTTTGTCCATGAGTCCTTGCTATATGCTCCTCAACTTACCCCTTCCCTTCCTTTTCCCCCACCCACCCCTCCCTCCTTCCATCTTATCTCTGTTGGTTTCATTAAATTTTTTTCTTAGGTTAACATGTAATAGCTTTACTATTTTAAATAAATTAAATATTTTATTTTTTTGGCTTTAATTTCAGTATATTAAATATTGAATATCACACAAATCATGTAAACAAACGACTTTTAGGTTCTTCAATGCTTAAGTGTATAAAGAGATTGTGAGACCAAGAAGTTTAAGAACCACTGTTATAAGTACTTATTAATGTCACAGCAACTAATATTGAGAAACTCGCCTCATTTCCTTTAGGATTTGGGACATATGGTTGCAATGGTTCTATTTGGACTTCAGCCTGAACTGAATAAAATACTTCATCATTGTCTGATAATTCATCTTCTTTGCCCTTTTGAAACAAAAAGAAAATAAATATTTTAATAGTTGTTAAAATGAAAAAGATGGGAGCAACCTCATCATCTTAATGTAAAATATAAATGAATAATTTTCAAGTATTAAAATTGATTTAAACCAGTACTTTTTAATAAGTAAAAAAAAAACAAAACTCTGGATCTTTTTCAGAATCTGAGGAATGCTACAGATCCTCCATAGAAAACTGTATATAGACATACATCTGCATATATTTTCAGGAGATTCATTGCCCACTTGCAGCTCAACTATTAGAGCCAGATTAAGAATCTCTGGATTTGAAAAGACACATGCATCCCTATGTTCCTTGCAGCATTATTCATGGTGTCCAAGACATGGAGACAATGAAAGTGTCCTTTGACAGAGGACTGGATAAAGAAAATGTGATATACGTATACTATGGAATACTACTGAGGCATAAGAAAAGATAAATTACTGCCATTTGCGACAACATAGATGGTTCTCGAGAATATTATGCTAAGCAAAATAAGTCAGAAAAAAACATGATTTCACTCATGTGGGATATAAAACTGAAACTCATAGACACAGACAGCAAAATGGTAGTTACCAGAGGGAAGGTGTGGGGGTAATAAAGAGGAAAGGAGGCCAAATATATGGTGATGGAAAATGGCTTGACTGTAGGAGATGGGCACCTACGTACAGATCACCTACCATAGAAATGTACACATGACTGTCCATCTCTTCTTAACTTTCATGTCTCTGGTTCTTTTTCCTTGCTTGTTTGTTTTGTTGATTAGGTTTATTTATAGGTGAGATCATATGGTATTTTTCTTTTTCTGCCTGGTTTATTTCACTTAGCATAATGCTCTCCAGATCCATCCATGCTGTTGCAAAGGGTAGGAGCTCCTTTCTTTCTGCTGGGTAGTATTCCATTGTGTAAGTGTACCAGTTTTCTGATTCACTCATTTACTGGTGGACACTTAGGTTTCTTCCAGCACTTGGTTGCTTCCAGCAATTTGCTATTGAAGGGAAGAGGGGAGGGCGAGAACGGGGGAAAGAAAGGGAAGAGTCAAGTCAAGGAACATGTATAAAAGACCCATGGACAATGACAATGCGGGGAGGACTGAATGTGGGGGGTAGTGGGCAGGGCAGAGGAGAGCAATGGGGGAAAATTGGAACAACTGTAATCGAATAACAAAAAGTCAAATAAAAATAAATGTACATGTGAAATCTATATGATGTTATTAACCAATGTCACCCCAATAAATTTTAAAATATTTCATCTGAGGTTAAACTTATATCTCCAAACTGTCATGTTCAGTATGCAGTTATATCTACAAAGTTTGTCCTCTTATACAATGGAAGACCTGTAACACAGCATTGTAAAAATTTCTCCCTACGTAAACCCTGGGATAGATTACAAAGGTTTCAGGAAAATTTCAGATATTCCATGCAGGAATATTTTCACTGATATGTCCCCTAAAGCCAAGGATATAAAGGAAACAATAAACAAATGGGTCTACGTCAAATTAAAAAGCTTCCGCACAGCTAAAGAAAACATCAGCAAAAGGAAAAAGGGAACCAACAATATAGGAAAACATATTTGCCAATGCTACCTTGGACAAGGGTTTGATCTCCAAAATATATAAAGAACTCACATGACTCCTCACCAGGAAGACAAACAATCCAATTTAAAAAAATGGGCAAAGGACCTGAACAGACATTTCTCCAAGGGGGACCCACAGGGCCCAGAGACATATGAAAGGATGCTCAGCATCACTAGCCATCAGAAAGATGCAACTTAAAACCACAATGAGATATCATTTCACACTGGTCAGAATGGCCATCATAAACAAACAAAAAACAAGAGCTGGCGAGGTTGTAGAGAAAAGGGAACTCTAGTACACTGTTGGTGGGAATGCAGAGTGGTGCAGCCACTATGGAAAACAGTTTGGAATTTCCTCTTAAAGCTAAAAACGAATCTGCCTTTTGACCCAGCAATTCCACTGCTGGGGTTATACCCTAAGAATACTGAAATACCAATTCAAAAATACCTATGCACCTCAATGTTCATGGCACCGCAATGTTATTTACAATAACATTGTAAATGTTATTTTACATAACATTGTAAATATAAGTACTGGAAACAGCGTAAGTGCCCATGAGCAAATGAATGGATCAAAAAACTGTGGTGCATTTACACAATGGAATACTATGTAGCAAAAAGAAAGTAGGAACTCCTACCCTTCACAAGAGCATATAAGGAACTGGAGAGCATTATGCTAAGTGAAATAAGCCAGACTGTGAAAGAGAAATGCCATATGATCTCACCCACAAGTGGAATCTATTCAACAAAACAAGTGAGCAAAATAGAACCGGAGACATGGAAATTAAGAACAAACTGACAGTGACCAGAGGGGAGGGGAGAGGGGGTTTACAGGGGAAAGAAGAGGAAGTATCAAGGAACGAGTATAAAGGACCTGTGGACAAAGTCAACAGGAAGGGGTGGGTTTGAAAGTGGAAGGTTGGAGGGTAGGGTAGGGGAGAGTAATGGGGGAAAATGGGGACAACTGTAATTGAACAATAAAAAAAATAAAAATTTTCTGTTTCCCATTTAAGCCAGTCAATATTATTTCTTCTACTTAAAGAGAATAGTGGAAATGTGTTTTCTTTGCCTCTGGTGAGTTGAAGCACTGACGTATATCTCTGAGGGCTAATAGATTTTAAGGTGTTTCAAAAAACCTATGAGTTTGATTATAGTATCAATAACTTACTTTTCCTTTACATTTTCTTTAGTAGTCACACACAAAAATATGAATCCCTGTATAAAAAAGCCTAGGGTGATAAGATTAGTAATTATTGCTTATTAATTTTTTATTTCATTTTAGGGTGATTTATCACATATATATTTAAAACATTCAATGAGAATAAATATGTGCATGCTACTAAGACTTTTGCAGGGATGCGTAAAAGTCTTTTTCACAAATGCAAAATCCAATAGATTCAGTTGTTATTAGAGCTCATTGAGAATAGTCATTATTTCAGGCTAATATCACCATCCTAGAATCATACCTCCTCACCTTTATCTGGTTTCATTTTCTCTCTTTCTCACACCTTTGGAGGATTAGATATCCATTCCCTTTTTTTGGCTTTTCTTCTTTTGCAGATTTTAATTTTTTTCACATTAAATAATGTCAGGGAAATAACATTTGTTCTATTGGCTCCATGGACACAAACCAAAAGACTCCCTTATCCAGACATTCAGAGAAGGTTTATTTTTAATTACTGCATTAATTATTATTAGATAAATGGATGTTGATACTAGGGTTTAATTTAAGATCCTCACAATGATTCCTTTTACATAAATGATGCTTTACAGTATTAGAAAACAAATGTTCTCCTAATTTTTTGACCTCATTAATTTGCTTATGAAACCCACAAACCTTTCGTATCAGATCAAATTTGCCACATTGAATTCATCAACTCCAGCCACATTATATCTACTTACATTAGAGAATTTTGAAATAATGAAGTAGTATTCAATATTCCAAAATAAGATAAAAAGATTAACATATTGCATCCCACATTTTGAAATAATACAGAGAAAAAATTTTAATGCAGCATGTTCTATGCAGCCACCTCATTTATTATGTAAAATTGGTGGAAAATTAGTGAGGCAAGACATACATAATGTAACTATATACAAAATGTTTTGGAAACTGATTTTCCTTCTCATTTTAAGTTTGACTTAAACAACCTGAAGTACAAAAATTAGTGCAGTTCACTTAAATGGTACAGTTCAGCATTCCATGGAAAGAGCAAATTAACTTAGAGGAATAAAACCAAATTTATTTTTGTGTTTATTTTTAATATGTTGGAAAGTTTTTGAAAATTTATATTGAATTTACTGGAATGACACATTGGTTAATAAAATTATATAGGTATTGGAAAGTTTGACCTTTCAAAGTAATTTTTTAAAATCCAACTAGTAATTTTAAATATGTGCATGAGATCACTTTATTTGTTAAGGGAGTAATAGGTAGAAAGCTAATAATTAAATCTATGTCTGCCCTGGCTGATGTGGCTCGGTAGATTGAGAGCCAGCCTGTGAACCAAAGGGTTGCTGTTTGATTCCCAGTCAGGGCACATGCCTGTGTTGCAGACCAGGTCCCCAATAGGGGGTGCAAGAGAGGCAACCACATATTGATGTTTTTCTCCCTCTCTCCCTCCCTTCCCCTCTTTCTAAAAATAAATAAATAAAATATTTAAAGAAAATTAATAAAGCTATATTTCAAGAGATATTAAGCAATTAGCTGGATCATTCCACCAAATTTTTCTTTCTTAATTTAAGTTACAATTATCTGGAAATTTAAGGATTTATTTAGCTAATCTCTGGGACACAAGGAATATTTATTTCATTTGATTTTACAGAGGGAAAACATATTTTCTCTGCTTATTTAACTCAGTAAATTATCAAAATCTCTTACACTTGAAACTTATCTCAATTCTTCCTCATGTTGATTAAAGGTATCCTCCCATCTGTGTTGGCACCTTTGCCTGCAGGCTTGTAAATCTGAGAGCTCAAACTCTTCAGGTCTCTGTGATAATTTTGCCCAGAACCTCTTTGGTGACAGTCTTTTTGCCAACGCCTGCCTTAGACTAGAAACCTTTGATTTTTTTCTTCTGTGCCTGTTCTGGTTGAGAGTAAAACACGTTTGATGACAGATTTTCTGACAGGGTTTGCAATGGACCAAGTGGCTTTGAGTTATGTGAGTTTGGTGCTTGAAGTAAGTCTCTTGATAGTCCCTCTATCAGTGTTTGAACTGAACCAACTGCCTGTGGGGGCTCTAGTCCCCAGGCTTGTGCTGGAGGTGACTCTTTGGTTTACCCCTCTACTGGAATGAGCACCTGAGTATCCAAATGTAGTGGTAACAGTACGTGGTGGTTCTGTGACAGTAGAGGCAAGAGTAACTGAGCATGTACCTGTAATGACTGTGGTTCTTCTGCCCTTATCTCTGCCTGTGTGGACTCAGGGGCCTGTTCTTGTACCTCTGGATGACTGGGCACCTGGTTCTGTTCCAGCTGCTCTTCAGACACCTTGTTCTGCTCCTGCTGTTGTTCAGGGGTTTGGCCTTCCTTTTGTTGTTGTTCACATACCTGATCTTCCCCCTGATATTCCTCTGGTACCTGGTCCAGACCCTGGGGTTCATTTAATGCCTGAGGCTGAGCCTGAGCTTGCTGCTTTTTGGGTACTTGGGTCTGTAGCTGTAGAGGCCTAGGTGCCTTAACCTGAGCATGTAGTGGCATGAGCACCCAGGCTGCCCTCCGCAGTTGTGGAGGTGCTTTAATCTGCATCTGTTGGGGCCCAGATGGTTTAGCCTTAACCTGAGCCTGTAGTGGCACGAACACCTGAGCTGCTCCTTGTAGTCGGTGATTTGCCTGGACCTGTGGCTCTTCTTGATCAGGTAACCACCCTGGCTGAGAGGGCTCTCCATGCAGGACTGTAAGTGGTCTGCATCTACTGCTGGGTGGCAGTCTCAGAAGCTCATGAGTACAAGGTCCTCTAGAAATAAACATAAAAATGTTTGCCATATAATTAGAATTCAGGGGAAATACTTTTACTTTAAAAAAATGATTGTTTTCTGCACCAAAGATACTTAACACATCTTCCTCGAATCATTCTTTTAATGTCTAAAATAGCGTATGTGTCACTAATATACTCAATATTAATAGTCTGATAATCTACTTGATCATTCTATTGCCAGAAATTAAGGAATTTTCTAATAGTAATCAAACTTTTTCCTCAACATTTCCACTCAAATATCTCTTGAAAATAGAGATCTGTTATTTGTTGTAGGAAAAAAAGATTAAGTTATTCTGATTCAAATGTAACAGCATGGAATTAACTCTCTTACACAAATTGCTAACATAAAATTCTATATGTAATTTGTCTAATGCACCTGAATCTTCTCATGGTGTATTGCTCCTTAATAGCTTTTCTTTCAAAGATCAGAGGTATTCCTTTTTATGAAAGAAAAAAAAACAATGCATAACAATCACCAGAGACTAATATAATCCAGCTTATCCAATTTTTACTCTTTATTGTTCAGGATGTTGAGCAAATTTAAAAGAACAAGTAGGTAACCCTTCAAATCACACCTGATTAATGATGTAGACAATATCCAAGTTCTTAGGTCCACTTTTGCAACACAGTGCAGCTATTCCATACAGACTAATTTCTCTGATCATAAGAAAGAAAAGGTAACAATCTGATTGCTACAATTCTAAAGAGAAAGAATTGAGGGAGAAAGGGACAAGAGAAACTCTAAATGGTTGATAAGCATGCCTCATAGGTGTGTACTTCAGATGTGATGATTTTATAGCTTGGATTCATATCTAACTTTGGTCCTTTTAAAGACGATTTTGAATATGTGAATAAGGATCTTTGGTCCTTTCAAGGAGAAATTTACAAATCTAATAAAAATCTAAATTCTGAGTTTCACACTTAATACATGGAAAAGTTCAGCTTCTTTCCTATCAGCTGTGCTCTACTGAAATATAGACACAAACAAAAGAGGGTTTCTTATATTTCTTGTATTACAGTATTTAGGGCAACTATATTTTCATCTTTCATGTAGTCTTCATATGAATATGACTTTTCCCGTAGGTAACAATCTAGAAAAATTGAAACTATGGAAGTTAGCAAATCAAGTATATATGGGGTCTTCCTCTACCTGTTTGAGACTGTCTGGCTTTTGTGATGCTTACCCAATGAATTCTCCACCATAGCTAAATAAATTAATTCATACTGCTTCTCACTCTAAAATGGGATACATACAGTCATGCAGATGGAAGAAGTTCCACTGTAACCAATCCTGTAGCTAATTTGAGAATGCCTGCTATATTTGAGTTCTCCTTTTTACACAATTAAATGTGGAATGTGCCATACAACCTATAAGGTAGAACATCCTAAGGAGTTTCCTCTGGATTTGATGAAAATATATCCTGCCATTATTGGCATTAATATATAGAAGCTTATTTTTATTTGTATAAATTAGTTCCTTTAATTGCATCTTATAGTTGGAGATTAGTACATAGAATAAGCTCTGTATGGTGTACAGACTTCAAAAATTAAAAGTCTAAAAACTGTAGGATTGGGCAGTGGGATGGATGGAGGAGGGCAAAAGGGGGAAATTGGGACAACTGTAATAGAATAACAATAGAAATGATTACAAAATAAATTGTTAATTACAAAGCCATTTATCTCATTGGAGTTAATTAAACTATCATACAAAAAAACAGTAAGATATAGATTTTATATTTTTATTCACTTTATTTCTTTATTTAGGAGTTTTTTAAAAATTGTTTCTGCTATTACAGTTGTCCCTGTTTTTTTCCCTTTCCCACCTTCCACCCAGCCCCACTCTCTCCCCTCCCTCAGACAATCCCCATATTGTCTGTGTCCATGGGCCATGAATAATTTTTCTTTGGTTAATCCCTTCACGATTTTTCAGCCAGTCCCCCACCCTGAGTTTTTTTTTTAAAGTAAAGTTGGTACATCATAAAATTCTTCCTGAGTCTTTTGAGGTCTTTGAAAATATGAACCTTTGCCAGTTTTAACTGGCCAGAGATAATAAATTAAGTGAAGCTAACACATTACTAGAAAACTAAGTACCAAGGGTCTCAGAAGTTTTACTTTCAACCTAATTCTATAAAAACAATATTTTTCCAGAAAAAAAATGAGAAAGTTCCACTCTCATCTGAATATTCATTCCAGTTAAATGAAAGTTCACATATTCTACCTTTTTTCTGTCTCTTTTAAATGATTCCAGTAAGATGCTTTTTCAGTGACTCAACAACATACCTTCATTTTTTATATTCTGAACAAATGAGTGATGAAGCATATTTGCAGAAGTTTGATGAAATAGGAAATTTTTTTATCATGCAATTGTGAAACTTGTGGGACCTTAAAAATATGAATCAAAGAGATAAAAGAATATCCTCATACTTGCTACACCCCTCAACATGCTCACCCACATATCACTATGAAGGATATATTTGAGGAGACGGTTGCCTCTAACTGTACCTGCAGCTTGACAATATACATTATACAGCAATGTCATTGAAACCTCAGAAAAGATCAGAGCTATTGGCACTTTCTACCCAAATAACAGTAGAAACTTCAATGAATTCAGTACTGTGTACACGGTAAAAAGTTAAGTGGTAGAATTATAAACAAGTGGTTAATGTGATAAATGCAGACCATGGGACTGGGCTGGTCAGCTCATGACAGTCACACTTTGAAGCCTGAATGTTTCACTTGATTATGTGGACTTTTAACTACAGAGGTGTAGATATAATGAGAAAAAAATGGTGTTATTGAGACTAACTAATTTTATAAAATGGCCCATTAAACCAGATGTGGCCAGAAAGCCTGTATCTGTGGGAAAGTTAAATTAAATCACAAGCAAGAATGTTAGTAATAAAATTACAGTCCCATTTCTACCAGGGCAAGCAATGAATACTAAGAATAAGCAAGAGTTGTCAACTATTTAATCAAAAAGCTTCACTGAAAAGGGTTCCCAAGTTTAGTTGGTCTGTAGAACCCTGGGAAGACAAGTATTCTTTTCTAAGTCTGTGGATGTTTAGTTTAATGGGCCAAACAATTGGGCTGTATATAATAATCACTGACTGCCTATCTAGGCACAGTGAGAAATGTTACAAATGGTTTCCACTGGTCCATCCCATTACTTGAGAAACAACTGAATATGCTATTAACACAATGCCTGTAATTTCACCATAATATACTCTGGATGGTATTCCTCATTTTTAGGTTGCTAGTTAGTTCTTAAGAAAAATTAGTAATTTAAACTCAACACTTAAGGTATTGTATTTTAGGAAATATTGTCCAAAAAGGACATTGAAGCAGCACTGATCAAATGAATTAAAACTTCTCTGCTACATAAACATATTAAGTTAATGTGCTTGGGAGATTAGGTCATTCAGCTTTACCATCCACTGGATTTAACTTTAGGAGCAGATTTCCCGCAAAATAACAAAGAGGGCTTCCAAGGGCTGAAGGCTTCCATAGAGCTGCAAAGAAAAATAGGTAAGTTTAGAATGAATGAAAAGGGTAACTACAGAGCACACTCCTAATACCAGAGGGAATTCTAAGTATTCTTTCACATGTTATTGTCTGAAGGAAAATAAGACCAGCAACACTGAAAAGAAATCAACAGAAACAAGAGGGAAAGAGGGAAGGGGGGCAGGGAAAAGGAAGGGAAAGGGAAAGTCAAGGAACATATAGCAAGGACTCATGGACAAAACCAAAGGGATAGAGCTGAGGGAGGGAAGAAGGGAGGGGGCAAGGGAAAGTGGTGGGGGGTAGGCAGAGACAAATGTATTTGAAAAAATAAATTAAAATAAAATTAAAAAAAATAAAAGCAAACTAAACAAGGAAAAAAAATGTAGTTCAGGAAAACCTCATTTCAATGCAAATAGTCCTTTATGTAAGATCCTTAAGGATTTATCTAAGCCCCTACTATGATATTCTGAGGGACACTAGCAATTTTACAAAATTATATTACCACTATTTCACCTCCTGGAACATGCTCCCATTTGCCTTGAAACATGGAAACAAGGTAATCCAAGCTTATAAAGCTTGGTGTGTGGACATTGTGCAGAGGGAACACGCAGGAACATAGGAACGTATATGATCTACTTGGAAAGGCAGAACCAAAGCAATCACATCCCCCACTCCAGTCCTAAAACACACTCCAGGTATTTCTCTCATGTCTCATACAATACCAGGAATGTGTTTATCACTTACATGTTTGGGTTTAGGTAATTAGAACAGCAAATATGCTCTGCTTACAGCGATACATTGGATGGTTGTCAATCATACATACCCAAATTCACATTCCATTTTTACTCTCCTACCAGAAAGCAGGGTCCTGAAACAGGATGCTGATAGGTCATTTAAATGATGTGGAAGAAGCAATAGAGCCCTCTGAGCTATTAAGGTTATTGGACAGGTTGCAAGCAGTGAGGAAGTCACCAAAGATAAGCTGGGCTGACTCCAAAGGATTAAAAAAGTTCACTTTCCAATATTGTTGAGGATTGACTCAACTGTCATAGTTTTAAGTAACAACATTGTGTGACTATAAATGTTCTGGAACCTAAATATTCCACCACTCAGTATTTACTGAAATGTCTTTAGATTTTGGTTGATCAGAATCTATCAGAAAAAAAAAATATTGTTGAGGCTAAATGGAAACAATACTCAAATCAGCCTAAAATAAGATACACATGAGGTAAAAGCCAAATATCTTTTTATAGATGTATCTGACCATTCTGACTAGAGCATTTGGTAATCACTGAAAAGGTTACCATTTATAGTTTGGCTTATATTGTGGCACCTGTGTAGCCAGTACAAGCTAACCGGTACAAGTGGCAGATTTGTACAACATGTTTCCCTAACTTTTAATAAATATCAAATATTTTTACTCACGAGGAACTCCTTTAGCCATTTTAATTGCAGTGATTCCCATGGACCACACATCACTCTGCCAAGGAAAAGATGACCCCCCCAAAAGTTACTTAAAATCAGCAACTTATAATAGCTAGAACTTCAAAACAATCATTGGCTGCAGGTTGTGCTGTCAATGCTGGAGTCATTTTATAGGCTTTCTATAATGGAGCTTAATTATAGACTGATGTTACAGGAAGACATTATTTGAAGCGTGACCAGCTAGTACTGCTCTACACAACAAGTTGATATGGGGTAAGATTAAGTGTAAGGAGAATCATTTGAATATATTGCTATTATTGCCTTAACTAACAAAATGAATTTGCTGTAAAAAACTGTTATCACATAGATCTACTTACTAAATGTGAAGTCTTAAAAGTAACCAATTTAACTTTTTCTATCTCAGTTTCACCTTGTGTAAAATAGAGATAATAATGCTATCCACATATAGAACTGGTATATCTATAGCTCTATCTCTATCTATATATAAAGTTTATGTTAACGCTTCAAGATGTTCCTTGAATATGGTAAATTGAGGATAAGATTATTATAATTCTATTAAATTATATTCAAGGAGGCTCTAGAAATTTATCTTCACTACTATTAACTATGCTTTGTTGTTTTGTTGTTTTTTTTTTTTTTAATGTGGAAATGGCACAGGGCTAGAAGTACACTATCTGGCTGGATGACTCCTAAACAAGTTAATTTAATTCTTAGAACATCAGTTTACAGATCTCTTAGTTTCAAAGAGTTGTGATGATCTAAGTTTAAGCTTTCTTTCAGTTATATTGGGCTAAAAAATAAAAATAATTGATTAATATTGTGAAAATCCTTAGAAGACAAAATTGCACAACTTCTAAGTATTATCTTTATAGTACCCACAGAAAGAACACTATGTTTCCATAGTCTTCATAGCTACTGATAGCACTAGACTATATACTAAGCTTTTAATAGATCTGCTTGGAGATCAGGCATAGGGCATTCAAAGGAAAGAGAAAAGAAATGAAACAAGAGTTAATCAACTTCAAGTATCCAGTCCTATGTTCCACACAATGAAACAACAGTGAATTGTTTGGATGGCTTATGTTGAGAATGAGTGGGGTTTTTACAGTTTGTAGCAAATAGAGATTTTTATTTCCACATCAGCCTTTTGAAATGTGTACATAGATATATCCTGTCTAAATTGCAGCTTCAGTGGAAATTTTAGTAAATAACATGAATTATTACCTAATTAGTCTATTCTACAGATTTTCTGAGGTTTAGAGGTGAACGATGCCAAGGATTTTCTCAATTACTGTGAGCAATCAAATTATTTATTTTTTACTTTTTGGAAATAAATTACTGTGGAGGTTAGTAATTGACTTTACATTTATTCATTTTTAAGTTTACAAAGCCCTCTGTCCCTGAAAGTTAATTTCCATAAAAAACCACATAATATGACATTTTACCAATAACTTGCAAGGAACATGAACTAGGCGTTCTTCCTCAAATATGGATAATTCCCAATGGTCTAATGTGTCTACATTCTTTTTTTAAAAATACTTTATTTATTTAACTTGAAAGATGTGAAGAAAGAGAGAGAAACATCAATGTGTGGTTGCATTTCACATGCTCTTTTCTGGGGACCTGGTGTGCAACCCAGGTGTGTGCCCTACACTGGGAATCAAACCAGTTGCCCTTTGATTCTCAGTCCAGTGCTCAATCCACTGAGCCACACAAGGTAGGGCTAATTTGCCTACATTCTTGGAAAACATTATTTTTCTGCATATAATCAAACTTCATATAGGAAGAGTAGCTAGCATTTCCTATCAGAGTTTAATGTGAGAGGAGGCACTACCTGCCTTTTATTCTTTTATCATTTAAAAATAAACATTAGTAAAAGTCCTTTCTAAATTTTGATTTCCACTATCCGAATCCTCAAATTTACTCTGTAATCATAGGAACATTTTGGGTCCTTGTCACAGTCAATCACCTCAGGTGCCATCCAGTATGGTGTCCCAATGAAGCTGTTTCTCCTCTCATTAGTTCTGCTTACCTGGACACTCACTCCAAAATCCACTGCAAATTCAGCATACGTCAAAATAATTAACCAGTAACAAAAAGCTCAATAAGTTATTGCTTTAACTTAGAAAGACAATACAAAAGCCACAATGCATAACAAGTTTTTATTCCAGCCCAGCAAATTTTACCATGAAGTGTACTCCAGAAATACTGGGTAATAGGCTTTTTCTGCTATTTATGTTGGAAAAAGATTAAGCAGGGCTATTATAAATCTACAGTAGGTTTGGCTGAATGTTTATCATGGATATTAAAAATAAAGTTCCATCAGTACACCCTAAACCTCTGAAGTGATAAAATATGTAGTATTTGGACCTGCCACCAAGCTGGAGAAAGACCAGCACTGTAGACAACATCTAAGAAATCTCAAACCTAGCAGTAGTTTATTAGGAAGCCTCAGTCATGACATTAGAAATTTCTATCACACTGATAAATAAAATTGAGTTTTCTGCTAGAATTTAAGTTCTTCTATAAATCTTCTGAATCAGATGAAAGTATTTTCTGTAGAACCCATATCTTACCAGTCTTCTACTCATTTATTGGGATACATTATATGAAAATATTTAGTATGGTATTCTCAGAAACAGGCAAAAATGGCTAAAGTAGGCTAGTGGTAATTTAGTTCAGAAAAAAATAATACATGGATAAAAAATAAATAAGATCTAATTTAGAATGATTTCCAGGGGACAAGAGAATTTAAAAAACATTGACTGAAGAGAACTTTGAATAATTTAGAAAAATAAAAATAAAAAGTTAAAAGTTAAGCATTAAGGAAGGATTTAACAAAGACAATAAAAAGTTCATAATATGTGAAATCCATTATTGGGTACTGCACAATCTCATTATCTAGACTATTTTTGGAGAATAGGTTAAAGTAGAATTTGACATACTAAATATCCCTGAGGGCCAGCTTAAAGGGTCAAAAGTACCTATAAAGGTAATAAGCTGATATATTATATTCAAGGAAGAAAATGAAGGGAGAAAAGACTAGAAAAAAGAATAATCAAAAAAGTAAAGAAAAAAAAAAGAAAGGCTGAAATTAAAAGTAGAAATCGGACCTCAACATAATTTAATCTTTATTTACTGATTTAGGGATCAAAATATGAGGATTGTTGTCAATTGCAAGTGCAATACAACAATTTTCCAGTCTCTTCTGTGACTCTATTTGACTGTTACTTGGTTTTACCCCAGAAATATTCTCCTTACAAACTGTTGCTTAAAAATATGCTGTGACTTATATTTAAGGCTTTTATCCATCTTGAGTTTATTTTTGTGTTTGGTGTCAGCTGATGATCCAATTTTAATTTTTTTTGCATGTAGCCGTCCAGCCCATCAGTAGATGATTGGATCAAAAAGTTATGGTACATATACAAAATGGGATACTACGCAGCAGAAAGAAAAAAGAACTACTAAACTTCGCAACAGCATGGATGGAACTGGAGAGCATTATGCTAAGCGAAATAAGCCAGGGGGTAAAAGACAAATACCATATGATCTCACCTAATAGGTGGAACCTAACAAATAATACAAAGATGCAAGGAAAATAAGACCAGGAACACTGAAAGGAAAAGAAATCAACAGAGACAAGAGGAAAGGAGGGAGGTGGGGGGCGGAGAAAAGGAAGGGAAGGGGAATGTCAAGGAACATATAGCAAGGACTCATGGACAAAACCAAAGGGGAAGAGCTGAGGGAGAGAAGGAGGGAGGGGCAAGGGAAAGTGGTGGGGGGTAGGCAGAGACAAATGTATTTGAAAAAATAAATTAAAATAAAATAAAAAAAATAAAAAAAGAGTATATAACTTAAAAAAATATGCTGGAATCTGATACATCTAAAATCACATGTACAGAGAATCAAGATTGTGGAGGAGTGAGTGGAAGTCACACTGACTTCCTCCTAGGACCAACCTGGAATTACAACTAAATTGTGAAGAAATCACCTGAAACAAGCAACTGAACAATAATAGCGAGAGAGGAGCCTTATAACCTCAGACAGAAGAATCAGCTTTAGCACAACCTATCTGGTAAGGAGTATGGTAGAGACTCAAGAAGGTGGGCAGAGCACCCACGGGCAGCAGCACCAGATATTGAAATGGCCAGTTGGATCCCCTGAGAAAAGCAGGGTCTAAACCATAAGCGGGGATCTCCAGCCTACAGCACCAGAGCCCAAAAAGCACACAGATAACAGCCAGCTGCAAAAAGTGTAGTGGTGCTCTCTGCCAGAAACAGGTGACTGGAGATGCAAAGAGCCATTTAAAGGGCAAATGCATAAATTTTTACTGCAGTCACTTACTGTAGGCTCCAGCAAAGACAGGGCCAGAGTGGGCTAGAGATGCCTCAGGAAAGACTGGGAAAGGAGGCTTTGTGGAGAGAACTGAGAGATTAGTCGCAGGGATCCCGGTGCTGACTCACCCCCCATAAGGCAGCAGCCACCTTGCTCAGGCAGACCACTCCTCTGAGTTGCAATAACATGAGAGGACACAATATACCTGCCCCAAGAAGGGCCTCGACCATGCCCTGTGGTGTCTCTAAGCTAGCCTGCTGAGTGCAGAGTGACTAGATTAACAGCTTAAGGAGACAGCCACTGACAGTATATTTATGAAAGTCTCAAACAGACTGCCTAACGTCACACAGGGTCAACATCTGACACCATCAGAGACAGATCCAGAAAGAAAAAAAGAGGGGTCTCCTGCCATAGAAGTTCACACTAGAAAGTCAGGAAATCAAGACAGACCAACTTAAGAAGCAGAAGCAAAAAAGAAGAGCCTCACAAATAATGGGAAGACAGAGTAGCATGTCCCCCAGTCGAAAGGAAAGGAGGAAACCCCAGAAAAAGAAATAAAGGAAATAGAGGCAAGTAAACTATCAGATACTGAGTACAAAACTATGGTTCTAAGGAAGCTCAATGAGTTCAGTGAGCTTAGAGAGAATTACAAAAAACTACAGGGAAACTACGAGAAACTTACTGCAAATTATATCAGCATTAAAAAGGATATAGAAACGACCAATAAGAGACAAGAGGAAATGAAGAACACAAATTCTGAATTGAAGAACACAGTAGAAGGAATCAAAGCAGGCTAGATAAAGCAAAGAATTGAATCAGTGAGCTGGAGGACAAGGCAGAAAAAAGCTCCCAGAAAAAGCAAGAAAATGAAAAAAAAAAAAAAGACTCAAAATGAATTAAGAGGCATTTACGGAAATGCAGGAAAACCTGAAACATAATAATATCCATATAATAGGGATATCAGAAAGAGAAAAAGAGGAGCAAGGGATGGAGAACCTGTTTGAAAAAGTAACATTGGAAAGCTTCCTTAATTTGAGGAGAGAAAAAGGCACGCAAGTCCAGGAAGCACAGAGGGTCCCATTCAACAAGAACCCAATGAGGCCCACTCCAAGACACATCATCATTAAAATGGCAAATATCAAAGACAAACAGAGAATCCTAAAGCAAGCAAGGGAGAAAAGGTAGTAACATATAAGTGAGCCCCGATACAGCTAGCCCCTGACTTCTCAACAGAAACACAAGCCAGAAGGGAATGGAAAGAAATATTCCAAGTAATGAAAAGCAAGGGGCTGCATCCAAGACTGGTCTACCTAGCAAGGCTCTCAATAAAAATGGAGGGTGAAAAAAGGAGGTTACCAGATAAAAGAATACATCTCCACCAAACTAGCATTGCAAAATATGCTAAAGGGACTGCTTTAAGAAGATGAAGAAAAAGAGTCTATGAATACCCAATTGCTTTCACAGTCACCAATACTTGATATTACCAATATTTTAATAATTATCTGATTGGGACAATGATATTATTTTGTTAATTTATTATTTGTTTAAATTAAGACTGTTTTTATATATTTCTTGCCTATTTCTATTATTTTTAAAAAGCATTAAATGACTTCTTGGTATTCTTTATCAATTTTTTCATTAAATGTTTGTAGAATTCTTGCCCTAAAAAACAAAAACAAAAATTCAAACTATAAACCCTTTTTCAGATGTGTTGCAAAAACTTTCCTATTCTATTACTTGTCCTTTAAGTTTTTTTATGTGTATATTACTATATAGTCTTAAATGTTTAATATAGCCATATCATCAATATTTTACTTTATAGTTTCTGGGTTTGAATATGCTACTTCAAAGTAAGAAAAATATCATTTTTTTGTTTTCTCCTAAAACTCCTTAGATTTTACATATTGATTTTTAACTCACTTGAATATTTTTTGTTTAATGAGTGAAATAGGGTTCTATATTTGTTTTATTTCAAGTAATAGTGGTCCATGAATCTTATTTGTTGAATAAGCTTTATTTTCCCCATTGATTTGAAATATCAGTTTCAACATATATGACACAGTTAGACAGATATATACATTTGTTTCTAGAATGTTCATTTTATTTCTTTTATCTACTTTATTATTCCTGTGCTGGCATCATGTTGTTTTAATTACTGAGACTTTATAATGGGTTTAAATTTTTAATGTTTTATAATGGATCTTCGCATTTAAAAAATAAATAAATAAATAAAATCTGCATAGAAAGAAAGAAAGAAATAAAGAAACAAAGAAAGAAACAAAGAAACAAAGAAAGAAAGAACTCCTACCTTTTACAACATCATGGATGGAACTGGAGAATATCATGGTAAGTGAAACAAGCCAGTTGGTGAAAGACTAATACCATATGATCTCACCTGTAAGTGGACTCTATTCAATAAAATAAACTAATGAACAAAATAAAGCACAGGCCTGGAAACATGGAGCAGACTGAAAGTTACCAGAGGGGAGGGGGAAGGAGGACAATTATGGAAAGAAGGGGAAGGGACTAGACAAAGAACATGTATGAATGACCCATGGACATGGACAACAGGGTGGGAATTGACTGTGGGAGTTGGGGGTTGGGGTGGGATGGGTGGAGGAGGGCAAAGGGGGAAAATTGAGACAACCATGATAGAATAAACATGATTTAAAAATAAAAAAAATCACATGTATACAGGTTATGTATAAAATATGTCCGAATAAATTATAACCCAATGCTAAAAGTTCCCTCCCTCAGAGTAAAGTAAAGGGATTTTGGTGCATGGACTGTATGGCAGATTTTTCAGTGGCTTTTCACTTATGATGCTCTGTGTTTTAAATGATAGGGCTGTCCAGCAACTTGACCTAAATATATGGTATTTCTGCGACATGTAAACATAGTATGTAGCCTTGTAGCAGACTATCTATCTTGCGTATTTGAGTGTGAGATTTGAATTCCCCTTATGTGTTTAATACAGTGACTTAAAATTTTATTTCCAACTTTATAGCTTTTTGATACAAAAGACGTAATACATTTTCTTGAAATTATTTTCACTTTTATCAATAACACTGCACTCATTATTCTTCTACAAATATTAAGTGAAAAACAATCTCAGTAAGCAAACACAATCTCTACTTGTTTGGATTTATTTACCAAGTAAATGGAACTCTCTTAAGACCATGCTAAAGACAAGATAGGTAAGAATTGCTATGATTAAAAAATAATACAGGATTTTATACCACTGATTTATGTTCTATATCAATGTGATTATCTGTCATTATATAATACTAACATTATTCATGTAGTATTATTTAAAATCCAACCAATAACATTTATTTTAAACTTTAGAAGATGTAATATAAGATACTGTTTCCTATGTGCCTATGAGACAATGTGTGTTGTTATTTTCAATTATATCATGCCATTCTGAGCCCTAGAATAAAAGGCCAGGGACTTTCTGGTCTTTTGATTTATAATTTGAATTTGATATGGATATTATTGGTGCATCAGTTCTAACTGATATCAGTTTTTTTAAATATTTGAGGAGAACTCCAAAAAATCAAGTTGTGCTTAAGTAATTTCAAAGTTCTTTGATATTCCTTGGAAAGTATGGCTTTGTGACATAAAAGAAATATATTTTTGTTTGATCCCTGTCCATGGCATAGAAACTAACAAGTGGTACATTATTCAGTTGTTGAAATAAATATAATAGTCTGGTCTAAAGAGGGTAAAACAATGACCAAAATGTGAATCTCCAATTATATTTAAAAGTTTGTTTTAGCTATATGATTTCAGAGAAACAGTCAGGTGTGCCTTTGTCTTACCCTGCCTCGTTTCCCAGACAAATTCACAAATTTTGACTCGTTTTGCAGGCAGGGAAGACACAGACTGAACAAATAAATGATAATCATATTGTTAGGGACATGATAGGAAACACAATTATCTTAAAAGATTTTTCTCCATTAAGATATTTTTGTCTTCACTTAAAATATTGTAAGAATAAACTCACCTAGTTTTACTTCAGCATTATGAGTCAATAGCACACTCTGACCTTTGATGTCCTGGTGAATTACACAGTGTGCATGAAGATGAGCTAAGCCCTGCATATAATATATTTATTTTTAAAAAGCCACATCATTATATATATTTTTCTCTTTTTCTGATACTTCTCTTAATATTTCTGGAAAAACCTGAGGTTATAAAAATGGCCTAGATTTGCATTTTTCAGACAAAATTCTTTCTTTAGGCTGGAATTACTATAACAGGTTCCCAGAAATGCTAACTTTGGCTATTAGGAAAGCAAAATAAATCAGGACACCCATGAAAGAAAGAGAACAGCAGAAAGAAATATTTATATATGCATTGGGCCATTTGCCTGCTTTTCTAGCCTCTATTAATTTCCAACTAACCGTAAGAGTAAAGACCTGGACATCTTGAAATCATAGCTCAGCTATTGTTTTGCTTTATTCCTCACCTAACCATTTGTTTAGTTCAAAATATTTTCTAGTCTATCTTGTAGGCTAAGAATTTGGAGAAATGTAGAAATTCACTTTAAAGTATTTGCTCTACTAAAACTAACTTGTTACCTGGTTAATGTGTGACCTGGATTCAGTGAAATGGTTCCAGATACTAAGCAAGGATTATTAATAGAAGTAACAGTAAACACCTACTACTTATCTAGTTCTTTTTCTTTGCTAAGCACTTTGCTAAGTGCTTTACATGCAATAAATTATCTAATCCTCACAGCAACCCTTGGAGGAAGGTGCTAATATCACCCTATATTATAGGTGAGAAAGGTGAGATTTGAGGAAATTAAGTAACTGACTCAAGGACACACAGCTAATACATAATGATCCATAATTTAGACTAAGTCTAGAGTATGCATTCTTAACTATTTATACTATTACCACAAGTACTGGGAGGACATTTTAACTTTGTATCAGTGATGCTGTGTAGTTCTGTTAATGTTTATCCTGAGTGTTCCTAAGTACTTTAGGTACAAGGAAAAATCTGAGTTGTGTAGATCACAAAGATTGTAACTGCCATCTAATTCAAAGATCAAAATGAAGTTTTAAAAGTAGGACATTGTTAAAATAGGATATCTGTCTGCAAAATGATTGCAGATGTTTTGGGGCCATTAGATAAAATACTGCCTTCTGCATCATCTTCATCTTAATCTTTAATGACAGTGATGCACTTTAAAATAGTAACTCTAAAATCCTAATAACATAATAAATACTCCAAATGGTTATGACCAAGATCCATTGAACCCAATAGTTTGAATTTTATAGAGCCATTAAAGCTCATTATTTGGTAGAACCTGGTTACAAATCTTGTGGTATACTTTAAATTTTAAGGACACCACCTGAAAATCTTTTTTCAATGAAGATTTTTGGGCTTTTTTGGTGTCTTGATCCAGAGGTTATGCTTAGAATTCTTAAACCATTCTATAATTTATAAGGTACATTGTATATATTAATCCAAGCTTTATTCAAGGCCAGAAGACAACTATATGAAGAATCACCTGAAGTATTTCTCGGCAGATATAAGCAATCCAATCTTCTTTCAAACTCTGATTTCTAGTCATTCTCACTACATTAGTGACTGAGCCTGCTGCGCATAACTCCATCAAGATCTGCAAGGAAGCCAGCAAAGTATCAAGAATTAGAAAATAATTCTCTGAAAATATCTGGAAGGTTTTGGTCCTTATGGCTATTATTTATATGCAATGTTTAGAGATTAAGACATTGCAAAGGCTGGCTAAGTTGTATGGTGGAAGACTCCAAATATAGTGAAATTAGAAGTAATTGCAAAATGCACCACACCCTTTTTTTACTCATTGACTCATCTACTAATGGGCACTTTGGATGCTTCTAAAACATGGCTATTGTAAATAACACTGTAATGAACATAGGTGAGTATATATTCTTTCAAATTAGAGTTTGGTGTTTCTTAAAATATATTGCCAGAGTAGAATCCCTGGGTAGTGAGGCAGTTCCATTTTTAATTTTCTGAGGTAACTCCATACTGCCTTTCACAGTGGCTACACCAGTCTGCATTCCCACCAACAGTGTGAGTAGGTTTCCTTTTCCCCACATTTTCACCAACACTTGTTGTTTGCTGATTCATTGATGATAGCCATTCTGACAGACATGAGGTTATATCACATTGTGGTTTTAATTTGTATTTCTCTGATGATTAGTGACATTGAACAACTTTTCATATTTATTGGTCATCTGTACATCCTCTTTGGAGAACTGTCTCTTCAGGTCCATTGCCCATTTCATTTTTTTAAAATGTTTATGTTTTACACTTTTGCCCTTTGCGTCCTTTGACTCAGCCCACCTCCATTTCCATTGTCAATCCCCATCCCATTGTCCATGCCCATGGGTTCTTCATATGTGCTCCTTGACTAATCCCTTCACCTTTTTTCAAACAGTCCCTCCCTCCTTCCTCCTCTCTTCCACTGTCAGTCTACTCCATGATTCTATGCCTCTGGTTCTATTTTGTTCATTGGTTTATTTTGTTCATTAGATTCCTCTTATAAGTGAGATAACATGGTATTTGTCTTTCACAGACTGACATTTCACTTAGTATTGTAGTGTCCAGCTCCATCCATGCTATCATGAAAAGTAAGAATTCCTTTTTTCTTTCCACTCTATAGTATTCCATTGTGCAAACATACCACAGTTTTTTAATCCATTCCTCTACTGATGGAACTTAAACTGTTTCCAAGTCTTGCTTATTGTAAATGACACTGCTATGAACATATGGGTGCACAAGTCCTTTTGAATTAGTGTTTAGGGACCCTTTGGGTATATTCACAGCAGTGCAATTGCCAGGTCAAAAGGTGGTTTCACTTTTAATTTTTTGAGGGGATGCCATGCTGTTTTCCACAGTGGTTGCAGCAGTTTGCATTCCCTCCACAGTGTACAAGGGTTCCTTTTTATCCACATCCTCACCAACATTTGTTGTTTGTTGATTTGTTAATGATGGTCACTTTGAAGGTGTGAAGTGGTATTTCATTGTGGTTTTATTTCGCATTTCTCTGATGGCTAGTGATGCTGACCATCGTTTCATTTGTCTCCGGGTCCTGTGTATGTCCTCCTTGAAGAATTGTCTGTTCAGGTCTTTTGACCATTTTCTGATAGGATTGTTTGTCTTCCTGGTGTGGAGTCGTGTTATTTATATGTATATTTTGGAGATTCAACCCTTGTCTGAGGTATCAATGGCAAATATGTTCTGCCACATAGTTGGTTCTCTTTTCATTTTGATCACAATTTCTTTATAAAAAACATTTTATTTATTTATTTATTTATTTATTTATTTGAGAAGGAAGGGACAGAGGGAGAGAAACATCGATGTGAGAGAGAAACATAGATAGGTTGCCTCTTGTATGCCCTCAGCTGGGGATGTGTTCTGCAACCCAGGCATGTGTTCTACCTGGGAACCCAACTGGAGACCCTTTGGTCCCTCTGGTTCACAAGCCAGTGCTCAATCCAGTGAGTCACTCCAGCCTGGGATGATGATGGTTTTTTTAGTTGTGTAGATGCTTTTTAACTTAATGTAGTCTCATCTGTTTATTTTTTTTCCTTTATATCTCTTGCCCTAGCAGATATATTGGCACACATATTACGTAGGATGTCTGAAATCTTATTCCCTATATTCCACTAGGATTTTTATGGTATCACAACTTATATTTAAGTCATCTATCCATTTTGAGTTTATTATGGTGTAAGGTGCTAGTCTAGTTTCATTTTTTAGCATGCATCAGTCCAGTTCTTCCAACACTATTTATTGAAGAAATTATTTTACTCCATTGTATGCTCATGACAGCTTTGTCAAATATTAATTGACCATAGAGACATGGTTTATTTTTGGCCTCTATATTCTGTTCCATTGATCTATGTGTCTGTTCTTATGCCAGTGCCATACTGTTCTGATTACAGTGACCTTGTAATATAATTTGATATCTGGTATTGTGAGCCCTCCACGTTTGTTCTTCCTTCTCAAGATTGCTGAGGCTATTCAGGGTCCATTTTAGTTCCGTATAAATTTTGTAGTATTGGATCTAGATATGTGAAATATGCCATTGCTATGTTAATAGTGAATGCATTGACTGTATAGATTGGTTTGGGTAGTATGGACATTTTAATGATGTTAATTCTTCCAATCGTGAACACGGTATATGCTCTCATTTAGTTCTATCTGTATAAATTTTTTTCTTCAGGGTTCTATAGTTTTCTGAGTACAGGTGTTTTACTTCCTTGGTGAAATTTAAACCCAGGTGATTTATTTTTTCTGTTGCTATCAAAAATGTTTTTTTTTCCTAGTTTCATTTTATGACAGCTCATTTTTGGTGCACAAAATTCAACAATTTCTGAATATTGACTTTGTATCCCACTACTTTGCTGAATTAACTTTTTAGCTTGAGTAGTATTTTGGTTATAGGGTTTTTAATGTACACTCTCATGTCATTTGAAAATAATGACAGTTTTGTTTCCTCCTTTTCCAATTTGGATGACTTTTATTTCTTTTTTCTTGTCTGATTGCTGTGGGTATGACTTCTAGTACTATGTTGAATAAGTGTTGAAAGCAGAGACCTTTGTCTTGTTCCTCATCTCAGGGAAACATTTTTAGTTTTTTCCCATTGACTATGATGTTGGTAGTAGGTTTTTCATTTATGGCTTTTATTATGTTGAGCTATGCTCCCTCTGTCCTAATTTGCTCAGTGTTTTTATCATAAATGAGCACTAGAATTTATCAAGTGTTTTTCAGAATATATTGATAAGATAATATGATTTTTGTTCTTTGTTTTGTTTGTGATGTGTTACATCTATTGCATTGTGAATGAATATCATACCATCCTTGCATACTGGGAACAACCCACACTTGATCATGGTGTATGATCTTTTAAATATATTGCTGGATCTTGTTTGCCAATATTTTGTTGAGGATTTTAGTGGCTATGTTCATCAGCAAAATTGGCCTGCAATTTCCTTTTTTGTTGTGTCTGTGCCTGCTTTTGGAATTAGGATAATACTGACCTCATAAAAAGATGCTGGGAGTCTGCTCTGTTCTTGGATTTTTTTTTTAATATTTTAAGAAAGATAGTGGTTAGTTCTCTGAATACTTTGTAAAATTCGCCTGTGAAGTAATTTGGTCCAGGGCTTTTGTATGTTGGGGTTTTTAAAAATCACTGCTTCAATTTCACTGCTTGTTATTGGTCTGTTCAAGTTTTTTGATTATTCTTTTTCAATTTTGGAAGAATGTATGTTTTTAGAAATTTATCCATTTCATCTAGGTTGCCTAATTTCTTTGCAAATAGTTATTCATAGTAATTTGTAATAATCCTCTATGTATCTGCGGTATCAACTATTGGTTCTCCTCTTTCTTTTCTGATTTTATTTATTTGCGTTCTCACTCTTTTTTTTTTTCTTGATGATACTGGTAAAAAGTTTGTCTTTGCCAGTTTTGTTTTCCTTTGGTTTTTTATTAATTAATTAATTAATTTTTTCAAATATATTTGTCTCTGTCTTCTCCCCACTACTTTCCCCTACCTGCCTCCCCCCTCCCTCCTTCAATCCTTCCCCACTTTGGTTTTGTCCATGACTCCTTGCTATATATTCCTTGACTTGCCCCTTCCCTTCCTTTTCCCCCACCAACCTCTCCCTCCTTCCCTCTTGTGTCTGTTTGTTTTTTTTTTTTTCTTTCAATGTTGCTGCTCTTATTTTCCTTGCACCTTTGTTTTGTTGGTTAGGTTCTGCTTATAGGTGAGATCATATGGTATTTGCCTTTCGCCCCCTGGCTTATTTTGCTTACCATAATGCTCTCTAGTTCCACCCATGCTGTCACAAAGTGTAGTAGTTCTTTTTTCCTTTCTGCTGTGCAGTATTCCATTGTGTAAATGTATCACAGTTTTTTGATCCAGTCATCTACTGATGGGCATTTAGGTTGCTTCCAACACTTGGCTATTGTAAATTGTGCTGCTATGAACACTGGGGTGCATAGGTTCTTTAGAATTGGCATTTTGGGATTCTTAGGGTACAGTCCCAGCAGGGGAATCACTGTATCAAAAGGCAGTTCCATTATCTAAGAATCAGCTCCTAGATACAATGATTTTTTTATTTTATTTTTACTCTCCATGTCATTTAATTCTGCTCTAATCTTGATTATTTCCTTCTTTCTACTCACTCTGAACTTTGTTAGTTGTCGTTCCTCTGGTTCTTTTAGATGTATGGTTATTTATTTGAGATTTTCCTACCCTTTTTAGGTGGACCAGTATTGTTATGGACTTCCCCATCATGACTGCCTTCACTGTGTCCTATAGATTTTGGGCTGTTGTCTGTTCATTTTCATTTTTTCCATATACTTTTGATTTCTTCCTTGATCTTATTGTTGCCCCATTATTTGTTTAATAACATGTTATTGAGTCTCTGTGTATTTGAATGTTTTTCATTTTTTTTTTCATTTAGTTTGGTTTCTAGTTTCGAACCACTGTGATCTGATAAGATGCTTGATATGATTTCAAATTTCTTCAACTTGTTAAGGCTTGTTTTGTGCCCTATCATATGGTCTACCTTTACAAATGATGAATGTGTATTTGAAAAGAATGTATATTTTCATTCTTGGGTT